AGATTCATTGCAGCAGTTCTCAGCTGAACCCACTCTTTTTTACAATGACTTAAATGTCCCAGATCTGTCTTTGACTCAGCGTCATCTTCGAGTATGCTTCTTTGTGTGTGTATGTTTTTTGAGTGTGAGTGTGTGTGTGTGTGTTTCTTTCCCCATACACACATGCCCGTGTGTTTCCGCTGCCTCACATTATCCTGCAAAAGCATTAACATTTCATGGACGATAGTGAGGTTTGTCAACTGGAGCTCATCAAAATTTCATCCTTAATTATGGATGCAGAGCTGGAGGGAGTTTCCCCTCTGCGAGGTGAGCTGAACCGAGCCCAGCGAGCCGCCGGCGCAGGCGAAAAAATCAATTCCCACCAGGTTATTGCCTGTGAAAACTGGGTGCTTGGTCATTTTAAATAACCTAAGAACACAAATAAACACTCTTAATGATCTGGAGATAAGTGTTCCCACCAGAGTCTTTCCACAAAGTCTTTTGAAACTTCACCTCGAGCGTAACACTGCTAAAAACACCCAGCTGAAACCATTACAAATGAGAGCCTTTTGGGCTCGGCTGTGGCAACTTCAAGGTACAGAGTGTAGTCTCAGACTGAGTCTCAATAAACCTTAAAATGACTTCAAACCTGTGAGTCCTGCAGATGAAAACACGCAGTTTAAAAAAGATGAAAACACGCAGTTTAAAAAAGCACACTCGTGATTAGAAGAGTACAGGTGATGGACACAATATCATTCATATGTGGACAGATTGTTCTTTTCTTGTCTACTACAGTCCTCCAGCAGCTGAAGTTTATAATTACTTTTACATAAAAAACATCATAAGATTATAAAATACAATGGATTGTTAAAAATGAAACTAGTGGTTTGGGTTTGTATCCTCTTACAAAAAGCAGTGTTGTTAGCAAAAAAAGGAGATTTCACCTCTAAACTTCTCAGATGGTTTCAACAACGGTTGGAGAGGTAAATGAATCCAAAAAAGTCCCCCCAAAAATTTGATGAATACAGATTTGTGAACAGATTTGTGAAGCAGAACTGTCTTGTTTCCTCCAATCAGTCATCTCACAACCCGTCAGATTTATGCCAACAAAATAGCTTACTGTACACAAAGTAGTTACAGCTGCCTCCACCTCGATGCATCCTTATTCACAATCCAGTAATGTGATATAAAACAATTTCAGTTACAGGGGTCATTTGCAGTCCTTTTACTTTTGATACCTTCAAAACAAATAAATACTCTGTTTTTGTAAGATTCTGAATGCAAGACTTTTATTTTAAATAAAGTATTTTTGCACTGGTTTATTGGTACCAGAGTCTAAGAAATTCTGTGTGCTGCTGTTAATTTTCAAGGCCAAACTTTTGGTGGTGTTGTGTTTTTGGCGCAAGCAATCAATTAAAGGAGCCATATAATTTTTTATTTTTTTTGGGGGGGGGGGTTACTTACCTTGAGTGTGTTATGTAGCTTTTTTTGTAAAAGTTCTGCAAAGTCCACGCCTTAGGGACTTATAGTCCCATTTGAAATGCCTTGTAAGTATGTTCTCCCGTGATAAGGGGTAATGCAGCTATGTACAGTATGAGAAAAAGAGAATGTGTTTTGGAACATTCAAGCATGTAAATCTATTCTAGTATGACCCGCAAATAAAAGTATGAACCTGAAAATGAGCCTAAGAGGGCCTCTTTAAATATCTGATAGGAATTTGAAAATAGAGAGTAGTGACCCACACTACCTACACCACATGAAAACCTTTAGCATGAATACAGTCAAATGTTTTCATTCGATTCTTCACATTATTCACTTGTATATGTATGATATTAGCTAAGCTGTGAATCAATAATTAGGTGAAAAACACAACCTGTTTCATTTTTTGGATGCGTTCTCTATTTTGGAAAAACTAAAATAATTCATCATGTACTTGAATAAGAGGAAACATTTTATAGGACCTCCACAGACGGTTGTCACTATATACTACTTTATCCAATTTAAGAGTATATGTTAACATAACTGTACATAACTGTCAACATAACTGTAGGGTAAATTACTTATTTAAGTCTTCCTCTTGCATATTAATATTAATGAATATATATAGTACGTCTGTTAAATGTTGTATGTGGCGGCTGTGGCCCCGGAGGTATGTGTATGAATCTAAGTCCCATTCTGATATGCACTTGGCACCTTGTATGGCAATGCCTTAAGTGTATGAGTGAGTGAATGCGACATGTATAGTAATGCGCTTTGAGTGGTCGGAAAACTAGAAAGGCGCAAATACAAGTACAAACCATTTACTGCAGTGAAGTGTTGCCAGATCTTGCGAGCATCTGTATTACTAAATTAGACTGTGTCAAGTGTCTACAGACAAACGCTAACGTTAGGAAGTTTCTAACTTTAGTCTTAACTTACACTTTAGTTAACTAGGGTTAGTTAGCTAAAGCTAATGTTTGCGCTGTCTTGTGTTCCGTTGACCCCCGCTCTGTATCTTCTTCAGCATGGATAGATGTGTGTATCAGCATGCATGCAAAGATTCAAGTGTTAAGTGTGAATAGAAAATGCCACCGTGAGCTGCAGGAAACAAAGCAGCAACTACAGCATCTAAAAAGTGTTTATTCCAAAATGTAGAGTAGAGCAATTCCTAAATGATTTCCACATATCAGATCAACTATTCTTCTGATTTTTGTCAGGGCACTGCTGATTGTAAATGCAACATCCTAATCCAGGGAAAGCAGGCCTTAACTGGAAATATACAAAAAATAAAAACCAAACATCCTATAGGGCCACAAGATCTATAGACTGTCTAAACACTACACAATACATTTACAACAAGGTCAACATTCAGAGCTTTACTTATGAGCACAGAGTCTGTATAATAAATACCTCCCACCACCATCATACTAAACCCAAGTGATTATCACTTCACTAGTAAGTTCCCCTCACACTCGTACATGTTCAGACTGGCTTGATTTCTCCAAATGACTCCTGAAATGCAGCAGGAACAATAATTGGTTCCTTGGTAATGACTGCACACTTGTCATAGGGAAATTTTCCCAGCCACCACCAGCCCGTCCAGTGAGAACACTCCTGGGATCAAACCAGTAACCATGTGATCAGCGGCCAGCCCTCCCTGCCTCTCTGAAGGGGAATATTCCCTCCAAGAAGCTTGGACGTTTTGATTGCACCATGAGCATAGCAGAAATAATGTGGGTGCAATCAGAGAATGATTTGTTCTCAAGCTACCACCCCCAATCTTACACACAAGCCCACACACACACACACACACACACGCACACACACACATACATGCATCTTCTTATATGTACAGTATGTCCACACTACAGTCTCCTGCAGCTGTAAGACAGAGAAAGACACATATGTAACTCAGCCTTTGCTCAACACATGACAGTTAAGTTATTGTCTATTGTATTACATGCAGCAACTTATTTGTTTCTCTTTAGGAGTTCCGCACAACAACAGGTTCTGTTCTTTTCTGTTTTCCACCATTTGAGGTTTCTTTTAATTGCGTCCTCTCTTCTTCTGCAGCAGTTTTAATGGCAGCCGACTGGAGAATAAGCGCCACCAACTGTTTATCTTGATGAACTCCTAATATTCATGCAACAGTAGTGGATGGAATTTTGGCAAATGTCCTGTAGATTCTGCCAAAACATTTATATAAACTTAATATTAAACATTTTGGTAAACCGATAAGGAGACTCATGAGGGGAACTCTTCATACGTTTGGAAAACTAATAAAGGCAAAAATGGGGGGATGTTCATGTTCTCGGAAAGATGCCTCATTTCCCCCCACCCCTTTATTTTTCTATGTGGTGTGATTTTTGTTCATGTGTAAAACTGAATAAAAGACATATGTCACTGTCCTATGAAAACCATGTATCTCCCTAATGTCGGCAGTTATAACTTTTAGTTAATCTAATGGGTTTATTTAGCTTAAGAACGAAGAGCCTTTTCTCAACCCATGGAGGAGGATGTAATCATTAATTGTTAAAAATTAAAAACGTTAAATTTGGAGAGAACCATAGTTTTCTTTCGACAGCGGTGACATCATGTTTCGATTAAAGGACAGGGAAAGTCCTACACCAAAAGGGCTGCTAGCTTGCTTGCTTAGAGAAAATTCTAACTGCAGGTAACATTCAGATAGAAATGTGGGTGTTTTTTAGTCTTTCTGTAACTGTGAAGAACTTTGCAGTGCTGGTTTTGAAAAGTCATCCATAAATAATGTTTTACTGACTTACTCACAAAAAAGCAAAACATCTTTGGTGTCAGTTTTAAATGGAAGGTATTTGCTTGTCATGTAAGTTAGTTAGTAATGGGAATATGTGTGTTATACTATCAGTTAAATAGGACAATGAATTTATAACTATAATTTTTCGTTTTTTTCTGATAATTTTGTCAAAACAAGCATTCAGAAGATGAATATATTGAAAACAGATAATAGTCAGTTGACACTGAAACCACATTCAGTAATTCAGTATTTTCATTTCAGTAAATAGACAAATGTTTTTAGGAAGCCATGGCCTGCATGGGATCATGGAAACAAACTCCTGCTGTGCAGCCAAACATTGTTCAAAAATACAGAACTTTATTCTGAATTCTAGTGTCCAAAGAAATCATATGTTCATCATATGTGTTTTAAGGAAATGTGAATAAAATGATGGTTGTAGAATAGTTTATGGTGCAGCCATAAAACAAAACAAAAAAACATTGAGTCTTGGGTGTGTGAATCGCTCACTGTGTAAACAAGCTTCACTGAAGATCTGGAACGAGCTGATACGTAACATAAGACACAAGAGACTTTTAATAGCCTTAAAGCTCCCAAGGGGGACAACAACCCCCATCCAGTGCTGCAGCGTCACTAGTTTCAGAACCATGGACAGCTCCACCCCCAACCAATAACAATCAGCACCTCCGACAGCCCCAGTGACACTGAACTCCACTAAGTTTTTTGGGGCTATTACTCAATCTTAAAACGAATGAATATAATCCAATCTTACTTCCAATATCCGGCCGTAGCGTCTTGTCATATTCCTTGAGCAAATTGTTCAGTATAAGTGTGGCATCCTCCTGGTGCGACCTGGGAACCAGCATTTGATTGACAGTGGTATCGTGGTGATCTTCGTCGTCGTCGCCATATTTCAGTAGATCAGAACTGGGTGGTGGGGAGGGTGGAGTGGAAAAAAAAAAACACGGGGATGGGGTCGTTAATCATGTTATGTGTGTCACCTTTGCTCCCCTTTTAATAAACACTATTGTCGTGAAAAACTTTGCCATTTGCAATTAATCATGTGTGCTGTTTCAGTGCCTTGAGGTTAAACACATCTTGTCTTGTCTGTATTTGGGCACAGCAATAAATGGTTGCTGTCCTTTTTGTCTGCGTGAGTCTGTGTTTGTGTGTATGTGCGGGGAAAGCCCTTAGAAAGGAAGAGGGAAAAACACCACATTGTATGCGTTGTCAGCCAGACTCATTCACGTGAAGTGCGCACTTGCCATCAAACCCTACAATAGACACATCTGAACTTTTGAAGCTTCAAAAGAAACACCTCTCAGCTGTTGATCATGCAAAAAAAAAAAAAAAAAAAAAAGACGCAAATGAGACTCACCGAGCACCTTGAGCGAGCAGAAGTGTGAAGAAGATGACCACAAACTTGATTGTCATTTTCCCATGCGCGGATCCCATCTGATCACAGAAATTGGTGGATGGAGATCCAGGTGTTATGCCGCTGCCGTTGCTGCGATAAAGTGCCAGTACAGTAGGTGTGTGACCATCAATCCCTGCTCTGAACTTCCTCATCCGCCCACACACTTTCTTCTGTGTGTCATCAGGGACCACACAGCGGTCTCCCCCTCTCCTATCCTCCAAGATCCTCGCAAGGGTTCCTCCGGGACGCACCCGACGATCAATCAGTGTGATCAGTCCAGCCGAGGGGAGTCGAATCGACTTGATCCAGCAGCGCCCACCTCCCTCTTTAACGCCTGTGTGGGCAACAGAGTGGTTGGGTGACGCTGTCTGCTGCTGCTGTTGCTGGTGGTGGTGGTGCTGCTGCTGCTGGTGGTGATGGTGGTGAACCTTATAGATGAGCATCTTGTGTGACTCATACACCATTGCACAGGCTACACACAGTACCTTTACCACAATTGAAATGCACGTTAACCACATGAAAAATCAAATGCTTTTTTTTTTTTTTTTTTGCAGCTTACGTCATGATAAAATATTTATTTATTTATTTACCTTTTCTGTATAGTTAAACATTTATAGAAATGAGGATATGTTTTTGGAAGTATTCCAGTGAATTATACAATTAGCTAAGGATTTAATAGTGCTGAACCAGGAGGTGGATTTTTTTATTATAAAGCAGACCACCCTAAAATCAATCCAGTATAGTGATTTTCTTTGATACCTTATTCATGTTTTTAATTTTACAGTATGCTGCGCCATGGTATGATCAAATATGAATCCCAGCAGGATTTGAGTTTACTGGATGTGAACTTTATTTTTGTTTATATTTGATGATGATTGGTGATTTGCCACTGGAAGTCACATTCAGGCTTCACACACCCGTTTACGTGCCACAGAGTCACAACCAGGCTCCCCTCGACAACTCAAAATAAGTAATTTGTGAATAGGCGCACAACACAGCAGGGCAGCCTACAAACTTGCGAGGCTTTCGAAATCCACACAGCAGCACACTGCGTGCAAGCCGAGAGGCTTCGGTGACCCCTGGTGGCTGATGCGTGGGGAAAAAAACGGGGAGCAATGTTTGATCTGCACCGACCTCCATAAATGACCCACAGTTCCGGAGTATTAAAGCTAATATTTAACTAAAGTCCCATGCAACTGCAATTTGTTTAGTTACACTATATGGACAAAAGTACTGGGACACCTACACATTACTTTTATAACACTTTTATAATTTTTTCATACACTCTTATTTGAAAAGTGAATAGAAAAGTACATTATTTCTCTTTAAAATGTAGTGGTGTAGAAGTATAAAGCAGCATACAATGGAAATACTAAATTAAAGTACAAGTATCTCAATATTGTACATTATTGCAGTATTGGAGTATGTACTTATAGTTGCATTCCAACACTGCCTATAAACCCATAAAATGGATGACTTACCTTCAGAAGTGAGTGTATTAATGATTTCCCTCTCTTGTGACCGGCGAGATGTCTAATGTTCTTGTTATGTTTGCTCAAAAACAAAAAAAATAAATATAAGAAGCGAAAGTACTTCCATCTATAAAAAACTGCTCACTTACTGTTCATCAAACACGGCGATGAAAATACCTAGAGAGACAATGCCACTCTAAATGACACAAGGCAGCACTGTAACTACGAAGTTGATTTGTCACATTAGTCTTCACTGGAGAATGTAACAAGAGCAGTGCTTTCACAGAGGCAGATGTGTGATCCCTGGAATTGGAGCACACAGACGCTATATGCATCAAACGATTGCCATAAAGCATTAAATATCAATGTGTACTCAAATCAATACAACTAAGAACTGCAGTCAGTTTCCCCTCTTGTGCAGAGGGATTTTACAATATACAGCAGCTTTGCTCCATGTTTAATAATAATTTCTGAATTCCATCTTTGTTCATCCTTTTTATTTGATCATTTGAAGTATAGTACATAAAACAAATACAGTACATAAAACAAAGAATGAATAACACAAATACTTTAAGCCCAGCTATAGCTACAATGGCTTTGCAGCATTTTTGCTAAATCCAAGCAAAGGTCCTCCAAAATAATCAAAGTTCTTTATTGAGGCTTAAAAACAAGAGGAACTTCATGCATGTGTAATGGCTGTCCCTTCCTGGGATGGACAACTGTTGCTATCGCAGCCCTGCATTAGTCTCCTTAAGCTGAGTGCTGCATGTGCATTACATTCTCCAGTTGAGAGACCCAAGTTCAAAACTCAGTCTGCTTCACAGCCCGTGAGCTAGCTTTGGATAAAGTACATATAATCAATCCAAAATTTGTCCCCAACACGCACCAGCCACAGCTGTCCAGACACTGCAGAGAGAAAAACAAGCATTTGTCATCGTCTGGGCCAGTTGAGGCTTAAATTGGAATGAAGCGCTTTGCTGTAAGGGCCCCCCCTGAATGGGTGAAAGTAACTTAAGCGGAACTAAATCCCTTTTCTAACAGATGTATGGCAGATGAGTCTGTCACAGTGGCTGAAGGAAGGAGGGAGGGGCAATAGAAAAGAGAGTAATGGTTACATGGATGGATGGATGGATGGACGGGTGGATAGACAGGGGCACTTGTTTCTTGGACGGCAAGAAAGATGTAGTCTACAGAAGGGGTCAGCAATTAGGGTCAGTTTTATCAGTACTGTTCATTAGGAGGCAATGTTTTACAGGTGCGGTGGAGAGGCCTGTAGGTTTCCATTATGTTTTGTTTGCTTCTTTTAAATTAAGCTAACAGAGCTAGCACAGCCTGGTGCAGAATGTAGCACAGTAACCTCGGTCTGTAATTATAATTAGATGTTATGAGGCTAGGCTATATATATAGGCATTCACATTATTCTTGTATATACATTATCATTATTTCAGAAAGCTTTTTTATGCTAGACCTACCATGTGCAGGTATAACTTTGAACAAACTAAACTTTTGACCTGATGATTGTGCTGGAACAGCCAGCCGGCAGACCGACATTTCCATCCATAGTGAAAATAATGGAGGCTAAATACACTTACATGATTAGGGATCAAAATGCCTATTACATTTTCTTTTCCTTTGGGAGCAAACAAATAAGACTTTACCAGCTCACATAAAACACCGCTGAAGAAGTTCAGAACAAACAAATGATCCCAACGCAGGAATAATCAGAAACAAAAGCTGATTCTTGATGAAGAACAGATTCAGAGGTTGGCGGTTGGTCCCGGGGAAAGAGGCATCTGTTTATCTGGACTTTTACTTTTACACTGCTACTGTGGTTTAACAAGCACTTAAACACATTCTTTGCTTTGCTGATAGACACCCACCGAGTATTTGACAGACAGCAACACGTTAGATTTACATAAAATGCAGATAAAACATCAACAACCCAAACCAGCACGAAAACACTACAGGCTATCCTGGTGGAAAAAATTTCAAAATAAAAGCGCTTTGGAAAGAATTTTGAGAGCGATCATGAAGATATTTACTGTAGGTCCCAATTTCACAAACTAAAGCAGGTACAGTACAGGAGCATCTTTATTTATATGGTTTTTCACCAAACCATTGTATCTACATCTGTTCAGCGGCAAAAAGTTGACAACGCTCCTAGCAGCAAGTGACAGGAGGGAACTACACTGTTTAAAATCCGTCAGATTGAAGAAACAGTGGGGGTATGAGTCCTTTTGTTCCTGAGTATGTCTCACCACTATAGTCCAACAACTCACACGTGCCGAAATGCCACAACGTATGCTCATTGCTTTCAGTTTAATTACGTCAGTGTAGCTGAAATTAAGAAATGAAAGTCTGATTCGATTCAAAGATGTAAGCTCTTCTACAAGCAACAAGAGGAAACGAATCTTACTCCTGTACACACAAGCATTAAGAAAAAGTTATCAGACAAAAACTCTTAATAAGTTGAAAGTCAACATAAGATTTAGGCGGATTTTTTCTTCTAAGGGCTTCAGACTCAAACGTGAGAATGTCTTTATTTACATGATGCTCTTATGAGACTCGGCATAACTTCCCAAAATCTTTGTAGCTTAAAGGCCTTGTCATACCATCATTTTAAAAATCTGCAGGGAAATCACTTCATCCCGCTGAAAGGGTATTTGCTTGCGGAGCGAAAAAAATCAGCGCTAATCTCTTGTACCGCTGACCAAGAAATAATCGTCTTGAAAATGCTGAACTTTGAAAGAACACCGAGATGGAGAGGCCAAAATGGAGGAAGCTATTAGTGGCTTATTAGCTATGGTACGCCTTTAACTTTTATGCACTTCTCCACAAAAGAGACATGGTCAGCAGACTGTTCCGATATGGTCCAAATATCTCTTTTGAATAAAATGTGTGAACTTATTGCCTGTTAGCAACCAAGCTAACACGCTTGCTAGTTACAGCACAGTGGTCATGTCTGGTTGGAAATTTCCAGAGCTTTTCTTCCCTCTTCAATAAAGCTAAATCATGAGAATAAAAATTCCACTGGCGAGTAAACGGCCTAAGAAATAAAAGAAAATCAGCTATTGAGTGAAAGACAAGTGCTAGCATGTGAGCATTTAGCTCTCTCCAACTAGCAGTAGCTCACCAACCTTCTAGAGCTACATATTTTGTGCACAGATCGATTGTGCTGTGTCACTTTCCAGGTGAGACCAAGCATTTACAGTAAGTTTGCTGACGTGTGTTCACCTCTCTCTTGTGGAATTTTTGTCTGTTTTTACTGACGTATAAGCAGTTTATCTGATACAGTTGTACTAGAATGCAGTAAAATAATGGGGATAATGATACTTCATTGACTGCTGTTTTCTTTCTTTTTCAGAGGTCAGAGGTCAGGATCAGCAGACCTGGGGCAGATTTCACAAAGATATTCATTAAGAGTGCTCTGTTAGTTTTAGGTCACTCTTCATTTTGCTCTTAGATTAAAGTTAGACAGCTACACATAAATAATGACAAATGGCAAATTAGTCCTACTCAAGTTAGTAAAGACTTTAATTTAGATGTCTATATGAAGCCACAGTCAAAGTTTGTCTTTGTGAAAGCGGCCCCTGCAGCCTAGCAGTGTTGTTGCCTAAATAAGGGTTGGCACCCTGGTCATCTCGCTGAATGACAGTCTCCAAACTCTCAGCATCACTCTGCTGATTTGTATGTGACACGCTGTGCGTTTCGAGCACTGGTCTCTCAAGTGTGAATATTAGTTTCCTAGCTGAGTGACCTGGGCTCAAAATTCTGTAAAAGCACATATATCCACTCCTAAATTTGTCCTCAACACATCATCCACAGCTGTCCAGTTACCCGGTGCAAGTGGGCCAAATACTCTTGTTGGCAAGCTTCCTCAA